AAATAACAAAAAACAGATTTGAAGGGAGTTATAATCAGTTTTGAGCTTGTTAGGTTTGAAGTGACCATGGGACATACAAGTGGAAATGCATAATTCTCCAGGAGAGTTTTAAGAAAGCCAAAAAAGTGGTGGTTGAAGCTGTAGAAAGCTGATGAAATTGCCACATGTAAGAGTATAGACATTAGACATTTTTAACATTTCAGGTTCAAGAGAAAGGATGTGAAAAGGAAAAGAGTGTAGGAAAGAGGAGAAACAGATTATTGGAGAGTCATAAAAGCCAAGGAATAGGTGTTCAAGAATGATGCCAGTAGTGTAACAACAACAACAACAACAACAAAAACAACTGCAGAACATCAAAGGAGGATTTAGAAAATGACTTTGGATTTGGCATTTAGGAGATCAATGATTGCCTCTATTAAAGTAGTTTTAGCCACATGATGAGCAGAAACCCAGCTGCAAAGGTTAAAGCATGAATGTTTGGTAAAGAAGAAAAGAATTGTAGGTTTTCAAAAAGAGTGTGAAAGGCTGGTAACTCTAGGGCAACTGAGGTTGAAAATTTTGCCTGCCTCAGAATCACCAGGGCTTGTGAAAATGCAGATTGTTGGGCCCTACTCTGAGTTTCAGATTCAGTAGGTCCTGGGTAAGACCACACAATTTGCATTTCTATCAAATACTCAGGTAATGGTGATGCTGGTGGTCCACAATCTGAGAGCCACTGGTTAGGGTTGAGGAAATTTTTTGTTTGTCTTAAGGATTCATAGCCTTGAAAATTTTCAATAATAAAAGGGGAAAGAGCAAGTAGAGAGGGAGAGATTAAAGATGCCAAAGAGTGGTGGGCATAAAACTGCTAGTTTAGTGACTTGGAGGAGGTGAGAGGGGTCAAGAGCATCGATGAAGGGAAAAGAGGGGACTTTTTATTTCCTGAGGAATGAGAGACGTAGGAGAAGATAAGAGAGAATACAGAAAATGCTTTTTAGGTGGATAGAAAGAAGGTTGAGGGAGCGTCTGTTGAATAACTTTGTGGTAAAATCATAGAGAAGTAGGAGGCTGTAGCTGATGAGAGTGAGGGGGAGGGTGACTTGCAAAGAGTAGAAAAGAGTTGGAGTAGCTGCTGCTGGGAATTCAATGGGGAGTCAATGAAATGAATAAAAGGATACTAAGTAGCAGTGGGAGTCCAGCTGAAGTCAGAATGGCTTGAATTTGAACAGTTTCAAGCTTAAGATTTAAAAAGAAACAATACATAGAGAGACATAGATGGAATTTAAAGTCCACACATTTCCTCTCCTAGAACAGTGCTGATTGGGGTATGATATGTTAAGAGTTGGCAAGTGCTTATACTTTATGAAATGCTTTGTTTCTTTTTTTTTATATTTCAGTTAGTAAATGTTCATTATTCCTTTTAGCATCTGCTTTTCTCTGTTACTCCTTGGGTTATGACCAGTTTTCTTCTCATTCCAGTTGTCTTCCTTCTTCATATTTGCCTCCTTTGGAATTCATCCTCAATTTAACATTGAATTGAATGGGGGGAAAAGGTAATTTATGTTGTAGAAGGTCATTTTATAGCCAGTTTCCTAGAAAAACCTATTCCATTGAGTGAGAGTATACTTATAGGCTTTAACCAGTTAAGTTCTTGATTATATGAATACTTTCATTTCACATTTATTGCCTTGCCCAATCAATTTCCATTTATTGTTTACCTAAAAACGAACCTTAGAGGGCTCCTGAGAGATTCTGATTAGAAGCCATATTACAGGTTGCAACCTCAGTTAGCTGCCAGTTTCAAATAACTCCATTAATTACCTTAGGTTTTGCTTGAATGCCCATTCTGAAAACCAGCTCTTTCAAATGGTTCTGTATATTTTTCAATCCTGGATAAGTTTGCCTATATATATTTATTTTTAATTAGAATAGCACTTGCATTTAAGTGACAATGTCAAACAGTGGAATATTTTGCCTAAAGTCACAAACTAGCACCCTGTCCCTCCAAATTGAGTATGAATTAGGAGAATGTGTAAATTGTTAATTAAGTCTAGAAAGATTACAGTATTTCAGTGTATGAGAAACTATACTTACATCACAAATCATTTCGTTGGAATAGTGGCATCTAGAACTTCTTATTCTGGTGAGAAAAGATATCTATTTGTACTAATTTTGTTACTATTTTCTAGGGTGCTTTGCTCTTATCTGGAAATAATTCATAAAATTTGAGTATTTTCTTTGTTTAGTGCAGTGCCTCTCTCCATGGATAGTCATCTCCCAAAGGTACTCTGTTTACTGCAGCCTTTATGATTTTATATTGCTTCATGCAACTCTAATACACAGGGTGTTCAAGCGCAAGTTTCCCTCTGGCCTTGTAGAAACCCAGCCTTATTTAGAAATATGTTTGGCTTATTGAAGACGTAAAATTTAGGAGGATAAAAACAAATTCTGCATACAGAATTTGATTGTCTCAATCTCAAAGCATAAATAACAATAAGAGTAGAAATAAAAGTAATAGAAATAGTTATTAAAATATCAAGAAAACCTAAGGAGATAACACCTGGTCTCTTAGATCTAAATGACTAAATCTTTAAATGACAAGTAACCTTAAGAAAATTTCCAAGTTTATTTTCTAAAAGACTGCAAATGGGAGGGAATTCAAATAATGAATCCAAGGGTCTTTTGTGTGTTGAATGCTCGGACTTTAACCCTCCAATGATCAATGACTAATTTTAGTCTCTAGTATTTCTACTAGAATTTGAACCTTAATCTCTGGTAATAATTAAAATATTACTACATATCTGATAGATTACATTAAATATATAAGACATATCTAGTTTGAGCTTTTCCTAAAGTTGTCAAAGTACATTTGTTTAATAGTACAAGTAATGATTGCAGCCTGAAATGTTCCACCTTTCCTTTTTATTTTTCAGAATTTCTTAAATTTGAAACATCAAAACATCTGTGTAATGTTCTATTGCTGAAAACTCCAAATCACTCTGCAAACAAAAAGGACTTGATATTGTGAGTGAAGCAATATACCAGTTTTTAAATGCAATTAGAGGAATTAAAAAAAAAAAAAACTCTTTAAAGTTAAATTTATTCACTTGGAAATTTCAATCACAGTAAGTTATCAGAGGTAAGTTACTTCAACACACAACTTAATAGCTATTTCTGTCAAAACACCTGTTGAACACAAATTGGGATTTATCTTAAAAAAAAAAACTAGTAAATACAAACATTTCTGTTAGTGTTTTTGTATTCTTTCTTGAAAACCTCTACTTTTTGTTGAAGAAAAAGTAGAGGCTTTTTCTGCCTCTGCTATTTCTTCTCAATTGTCCTTTTTTGCTCCTTATTTTCTTCCCACAACAGTAGCAAACTAGCAAAAAATATTTAATGCCTTTTAAAAGCGTTTTGTGGCTGGCTGCATGCATTGCAATCTATTATGTTAGGGTCGCTTACTATTGTATTTCAAAAGCAACTATCATTACAACTTCTTAGCATTCTGACTAAACACAATAAAAATTGAAACAGTATGAAGTGACTCAAAGGGTAGTTCTTACTACTTGGTTGACGAAATGACAAAAATATGTTGAAGAGAGAGGCAGAAAAATCCAATTTAGAACATTTATGTCTTATTAAGGGAGGAAAAAAGCCCAGCCATTCTTCCTTTGATACCGCTAGGAAGAGCTGAATAAAATTCACTAACTTTTAAAAAATATTTATATTCTGGAAGTGTATTGGAGAAGTTGATTTAGTTATATCATTGCTAATTAACGTTTTATAAGGAAACGAAGCATGGATTTCACTTTCTGAATAACAACCTCTAGAAGAGAGAAGCTCAGGAAAGGAAATACCTTGATTTCAGAGAATCAAAAGTTCGACAAAGTGTCTTAAAACTTTGCTACAGTGATCTAATCACCATATACCATGCGGGAAAGACCATGCCTTTCTCTGGAATGTACCTTCCCTAGATATTTCACTTATTATGAGCTCTTGTAGTTGCGTTTAGGCACGTGACAAGTGGGGGAAGAGGAATCTTGAGCTACATACAATTCAGGACATGGAGCTCTAATCACTGGTCCATCAAAGCCCATAGATGAGAGAAGAAAAAGCAATATTAAAAAGTACAAATCCTCGCTCTTCTCTCATATTCTGTGATGACTGTCACGCATCATAAAGGAACTTTTTCTATCGAGGTTAGCCGGGACGGGGCAATCCTGAAATTAAGGGATGGTGACACAGAAAGCGAAGACTGTTCCAGGACAGTGACAGAAGTACTGTAAAATGAGGCGTCCGTCTACCACCCAGAAATCAAGTGTCTGCCTGCTTTCCAAAGTCCACAGGCTCACCGCGCCTGCTGAATATCAGGAGTAGGTTAGCACCCTGCAACTTTGTTTTGAGTGCGATCTTGTACGCTGGTTCCTCTGTGCGCTGAGTAAGAGAGAACTTAAACCAAGAGCGCAAGACGAGCTGAAGAAAGGCTGACCTGATTACTTCTGAACTCGCTGGAGTCTTTCTCCAGGAAGCTGGGCGAAGCCATCTCTTAAGTTCCCGCAGTTTGGGAGTAACGTGAAAATGGAATTGGAACTGCTACCTTCCTTTCCTCGATTGAACCCAGGTGCACGGTGGCGCGGGATTGGGGGAGAGGCACGTTCTAGAGTGCGGCTTTGTGTTCCCACGTCGAGGGCGCGGAGGGGAGGGGTCCGTAGCTTAGGCCACTTCGAGAGCTCTGCGTGATAACTGCAATTCTTTTGTCAGATTGCAAGGAAGAAGCCAAGGAACCACACCGCCCCCTTCACGGGCTCCATCCAGATTCACCCGCAAACCCTGAACAGCCTCAGGTAGCCAGGAGGAGGGCCAGGGAGTCTCCACCTCCTTGCGGGAGGCAGCCATTCGGCGCGCTTGGAAGCCGAGGACTTGGAGCCCATTGGCTAAGGGTGGCTGCCAGTCTCGGGAGGGGGTGTGATTGGGTGGGGTCTCAGGCCGCGGCGGGTAGAGGCTGCTCACTGTCTGCTGGGTGGTGGGTGAGCTTTAGCGTGAGCCATGCCACTGTAGACTTGCGAACAGTTCTGAGCGAGTGATAGCACGCCAGAGAGAGCACGAGAGTGAGCGAGCGAGTGCGAAGGGACACAGAGGAGACAGGGCGAGAGAGCGAGGGCCCGAGGACCTACGATTTGAGACGGAATGACCATGGCTGTCTCTGCACCTCCAGTGATCTCTGCAACTTCTAGTGGCGCCGGCATCCCGGGGGGCTTATTTCGGGCCGAACCCCTGTATTCGACTCCTGGAGATCCGCCTCGTCTCACCCCCAATAGGATCAACAGTTTCATGGCTAGCAGCGCCGGGGGTGGTGGGGTCGGTGGCAGCGGAGGCAGCGGCAACACCAACACCGAGTGCAGGATGGTCGACATGCATGGGGTGAAGGTGGCTTCATTCCTGATGGACGGCCAGGAACTGATCTGCCTGCCGCAAGTCTTTGATCTCTTTCTTAAGCATCTGGTGGGAGGGTTGCACACAGTGTACACCAAACTGAAGAGACTGGACATATCCCCCGTGGTGTGTACTGTCGAGCAGGTCCGGATCCTCCGCGGGCTGGGAGCCATTCAGCCTGGGGTGAACCGCTGCAAACTCATTACCAGGAAAGACTTTGAAACTTTGTTCACCGATTGCACCAACGCCAGGTGAGATACTCGATTCTTGGCTCGCTCTTCCCCTTTTACCCTCTTCTGCATGTCTCATCACCCTCATCCAACTTTGTTTGTAGAGAGTGAGTCTTAACTATCTTGCCTCTACTCTTCACGCTGAAAGTAGGTGGGGAAGGAGGACTAGAAGGGCTCATTAATTAATTGCCCGTCCCTTCTAGTCTGCGCGCAGTGGCAGGGCTTGAGTCTAAGAAAGTGCCGGACAAACTTTAGTTTACGGTCCTCTACTGAAACTTTCCAGCCTTTCGCCCATATCTTGCATGGCTTTTGGGCTGCTTGTGGTTATTTGTTAATTTCTCCATTCAATTCTCTTTCCTGCTCTTTTGTGGCTGTACGGGTCGGATAGATTTTCTCCTGAACACGAACACCAAGGGTTTTCTGGGGTAGAGTGCTGGCTGAGCTGTACATTGGGCTCCTAAGCTGGCAAATCCAGAACACAGCATTTGGGGGATGAAGAGGGTCGGAAGCCTAGAATCCATCCCAAAGGGTGATTCGTTCCCCATCCTGTTTGTTTGTTGTGTGAGTACCTGGGGCGTGTGGTGGTAGTGGTGGTGGTGGTCGTCGTCGTGGTGATGTGGTGGTGGTGGTGGTGGTGGTGGTGGTG